ATTCTCATATGAATCAAATGTAATTATCAGAAGATAACATATTTAAAAAAAGAAAAAAGAATACCGTATATTTTTTCTGGACCCTCCACGCAAAGGCAACTAAACGAAACCGCCAACTTGAACACTATCAAACGAAACATTTTAACACGTCCAATAAATCTTTCTCGTAACCAATAAACTAGCATTATCTACACTTTTTAATTTATTGTAAACTAACAACATCTATAAATTACATATATCATAAGATACACATTGAAACATTTACGAAACATGTGTACATTGATTGAACGTTTTTAATTAAAATGATTGTCGTTTTAAATATTATAATAAGCATTCTGTACATGTAATGTAATGTAAACAGAATCGCGATTCGGATCTGTGAGCATTAGCGCTTATAACTTCTGAACGACTTTTTGGCGGGAACGCGAGGATAGAAGTTGTGTAATTTATTTTATTTTGTCTATTTAGTGTTTCTTCAGGTTTCAATGTGTAATAACGGTGGTTTATTAACTGTTTAGTATCTGTGAAAGTGCATAAATGTGGAAAAATGAAACAAAACCGCTAAACGTAACTTCTCGGGATCCTCCAAAAAGTCCACTGAAAAAATCTTAGTAAATAACCACAATTTTACTGAGATTATATTTCATCTTATTTTATTTCATTATTAATTTCATCCCAGTTGATTAATGTCTCAAATTAATCATCTTCATTTCATTTCATTTCACTCTATATTATTAACATGTTTCATAAAAATAAGAATATAAATTAAAATAATATACTTATTACTTAAAGGTCTTAGCTACCCGGTCATAAAATCCCTAAATAAAAAAATAACTTCTGAACGAATTTTAAAGCACTTTGTTAGGTTACGAAAGATTATGAGGTTTCAGTGTGTGAAAAAATTGTTTTCCTGATAGCGTGCTGTAACTTTGATGTGGCTTTGAAATTGAGATTAAAAATAGTTTATTTGCTCTACTAATGGATTACTACTTACTTATCGTTGAAAACAAATCATTGTGTCAATTTAGAATGTGTATATCTTTGTCCTAAATTTAAGTTAAATCGATTATATTCTCACGGCAGCTGGACGAATGCGCACAGAAATGTATACAGAGGCCAAAAAATGCCTAAATATTTTATACAAAGTGCATGAAAAGTCATGGCAGTTTCTTGTAGTGTGGGTACAAAATAAAACCTAATTTAATTGTTTTTTTTGGTATCGGTTTTAATATATCCCTTTGTTTTGTAACTTAGCATGGCTAAGGGCACAATACATACAATACACAATTACACACGCTGCTATTAGCTTGGTATGTTTGTATGTAACCAGTGACGCATTTAGGGATGATACTGCTCTAAGCCCTGTTTATAGCGCCGCCCTTAATGTTAGATTATATTTTATTAATTTTGATCCAATATTTTTATTTTAAATTTATATTAACTTTATTTCCTTAAAATATTTTCTTTAATATTACAAATTTTAATAATCAATTTCTTTTTTATACAAATTACTAAATGATAACCGGTTTTTTTTTGATAACGCCATCTTGTTGTCTTTAAAGCGGTTAGTTGCCCTCAATTAAGAAAAATAGTATTATTATTCGCCAATAGATGTCGGGAAGAGTTGATTATTGAAAACACGAATAAAACAACATTTTCTGAAAATAAATCGTAGCTCGATCGATTTATCGCCCCCGAAATCCCCTGAAATGAAAATCGTTGGAGCCGTTTCCGAGATTCAGATTATTATATACCTACAAGAATTGCTCGTTTAAAGTTATAAGATTTAATCAGAACTGATTTTCAAAGGAGACGTGTTATTATTATTTTCTTCTCTGAAATTTTGGCATTTAAAAATTTTTTCCGCCCATCTAATCATGCCGTCCTGGGCCCGAGCCTCACGAGCCTAGACCCAAATCCATCACTATATTTAGCGAATCTTTGAACGTCATTTTCATCGACTCAAACAATCTGATTAACATGAAAATTTGCACACGTATCAAAGACTCATAACAATACAATAATTGTAATAATTTCACTTCAATATCCTGACTAATATCAACTGAATAAAAAAAATGATCTATTATATGAATATATTATATTATGATATATTATTATGATCTAATGAATTATGAATTTTGAGGTAATTCAAAAACTATGTCCATCTCACGAACTAATCTCGTCTCATTGATAAACGTAATTCATATATTTAAATAACATTACGTCTTTTGATCGTTAAGACAATTTACCGAAAACAATTTTTATGTTTTGTTTTCTCGTATGCACCAAGTTTTACGATGTGTAATTAAAACAAATTCTGTTGCGCTCTATCTTTAGTGTTTCAACTACTTAAATTTATAATCCTTTTAGACATTTCATTGACCAGTTTAAACGGAACTAAGTGTTTTTAGTGATATTTATAGCCGCCATTTGATCGAGTGGCAAATTTTTAGGAGATTTATGTACATGAAAAATTAAAAAAATCAAAATCAAGCTTTGTTTAATAATTATTAAAGTTAATATTAAAATGTAATGCAATTCTTTTTTATGTTTCTTATTCCATAGATTTGTGAACTAGCTCACAGCCTGTGTTGTTGTTTTAGTCCTAGGGTACCCCGCTGGTACATAGGGCCCTCACATGTTGTCTCCACTTGACCCTGTCTTGCGCTTTCTCCTTGACATCACTCCAGGTCGCATCGGCAGTTCTCATTTCACTCTCCACAGTGCGTCGCCAAGTATGTACAGGGCGACCGAGTCTTCTGCTACCAAGCGTTTGCCACTCAAACGCGATTGATGCTGCGTTGACTTCGCTGCGCCGTAGTGTGTCCTATCCAACGCTATTTCTGATGGGCAATGTCTTGCGCGTTGGGGTTTTGGTCACATTTAGCTCACAACCTAGCTAATGTTAAAAGATTCCGGAATCCATATCACAACGTAAGTGCCACTATCTACCTTGAGATGTGAGGTCGAAATTTCAATTTTATTGAATTCAAAGCTTCCACTTGACATAAATGTCTATGATGATGGGACCTACTAGTACGAGCTCACAATATGCATATTATACATGTACTTTACATTATTTTATATCATTAAACGAGCAGTTCTTGTATATATATATGTATATAATCTGAATCTCGAAAACGGCTCCAACGATTTTTATAAAATTTAGTATACAGGGGATTTCAGGGGGGATAAATCGATCTATAATAGTTACGATTTATTTTCAGAAAATGTTGTTTTATTCGTGTTTTCAATAATCAACTTTATCGATAATTTTGATTTTTTCTTTAAATAACCAGTTCATATTTTTTTATATCGAAAAATCTTATTCATATTTCATCATTTTATCAATCTGTAATTCGTATTTAAATATAATTTCTAAAAAACACAATTTATCAAAAAAAAAACGTGCAAAGATCGGTCATTATCTAGTAATTTTTTTATAAGACATATTTAATAAGATTTTAAAAATGAGTGAATACTGCCTGGTAAAAATCGTACAATATAGGTACTATATTATTGGTGTAAATATAAAAATCAAAATGGATTAAATATATAAAAAAAAGTTATAATATTAAACCTACTGTTTTTATATTTTTATATTGTGGCAGTATTTTAGGCCAAAATAGTCAATTCAATCAATTTCAATTTAATCACTCTGAAAATGACGTTGAAAGAGTCCGTCATGTCAATAGAGATATATGTATATAGGTCAAGCTATTTAAAAGCGTGTTGATAACGTCGTCAACTTTTCTAATGCAATATATATATATTGAATTATTTTTTGGGCTATACAAACTGCAATTTGCAGTTAACATTCCGTTGGTAGCGTGGCCGAGCGGTCTAAGGCGCTGGTTTAAGGCACCAGTCTCTTCGGAGGCGTGGGTTCGAATCCCACCGCTGCCATAACTTTTTTATCGCATTTTTGCTTTTTGTTTTCAAAATTATTATCATGTGACGAGTTAACGTATATTTTTTGTAAATTTATTTTCGTTTTAATTTTTTGATTTGATAAATAAATCAAGAATAAACTAATCGACAAAACTATGAAACCTACAATTTCCTAATCAAAATATTTAAAAAAGAAAAAAAATATCCTTTAAAATCCGTAGTTCAACTTAAACTAGCCGTTCCTTACTGGAGTTATCTTAATGAGAACGTGCCAGCAAAGAGAGAACGTTGTCGCTCTCACTTAAAATATTTACGAGGGTTTTAAAGCAATACAAACATATATAATTATCTTTGAACCGAGGTTATCGATTGAAGCATGTGTCTATACGAGACAACTAAATCTTGTACAGAGTATCATTGTCTTTAGAAGCCGCACGGAATACTTTTATCCTAATTTATTCCCTACCTAAACGCTGATAGACTAAGATAGGTGATCTCAAGGGGAGGGGGCTTGAGAGAGTTGCTAATACAGGCCGTAGGAAGAATAGTGCTTTTCAGAATCTACCACCGGATCGAAATCGCGACCCACTGAGAAGATTCGGCGAGAAACTCCCACCATTTCCACTGCAAAGCACTCGCATGTTCCGGATTGCTAATCGCACTGTTTGAGATAGGAGGGGGCTTGAGAGAGTTGCTAACATAGTCCGTAGGAAGAGTAGTGCTTTTCAGAATTTACCACCGGATCGAAATCGCGACCCACTGAGAAGATTCGGCGAGAAACTCCCACCATTTCCACTGCAAAGCACCCGCATGTTCCTGATTGCCAATCGCACTGTTTGGGGTAGTGTATATTATTCTCTCATACCATTCATCAAATATGTAGGGACCACAAATTTCCCCATAGCAACTAACAATTATATGTATGTGTTAGCGGTAATTATATTGCAATGATGCTACGTCAGTCTCGGGATTGTCGGGCTGTCGATAGCACGTTAGGTTGTAATCCCAATATACGTTAGTCACTTAACTGAACACGTGTCTTATTAATCCTTGCCCGATATAGAGACTCACCAAATATTTTTAGACACTGAAATATTACTGCCACTCACCTCCATTTCGTCCTTCGGTTCTGGAACCAAGTCTTAACTTGAGCATCTGTCATTTTCAAAGTCTTCGCTAATGAGGCGCGTTCCGCGGAGGCAAGGTACTTCTGTTTGTGGAATCTCTTCTCCAGTTCGGCTATTTGGAGTCGCGTGAATGAGGTTCTTGGCTTCTTACGTTTCGGCGGGGTCCGGTTCTGATAAGGATGGCCGATTCGTCTCGTGATCGGGAATGTTGCTGTGAAGAAAATCGACCAATAAATTCTGCGTTCTCGATTTTGTTAGAAATTAGACGCACAAGATGTGACTTTAGTTTAATAGTCGTAAATAAATGTAAGTAATGTGTATAAGTTGTAATAAATAGTTGTATATAATAAATAGAAGACGAGCTAATTATAGATCGTACGATCTAATTTTTTTTTCTACCTATGCTGATAGCCTTGAGAGGCTATTTCAGCTTCACCCTAACGTGTAGGTGAGCTCACGGGGCTCAAGCCGGAGTGTCGCTAACACTGGCCCTAGCAAGAGCAGTGCATCGCAGAATCTACCACCGGGTAGGAAACGCGACCCACTGAGCCGGCTAGAAACTCATTGGGCATACGATCTATGATTAGCTCGTCTTCTATTTTGGCCCCGAATGACGACACGCGTTGTTGGAATTACACTCAAACGTGTTTTGTAAAATTGGTAGTGCAGTTTGTGAAAAATAAGGACTATGGCATTGACAAATATTCATTTGATATCTGTTTTCGTCGAATGTAATTTTTAGATATAGAAAAGATTTTACTTATGGTACCAGTTTGTTATAGGAGCTGAAGAGAACCTAGTGTTTAGTGATTCACGGTTCCTTCATTCGCGTTTTCACTATTCGCGGATTACAAAAACCGACCCGATCCTATTCCTATATTCGCGGCTAAAGATTTCTTTATTCGCGGATCTAATCGGTACATACACATTAGGATTCCAATATGTACGTATCCAACCGCATATCCTTTGTGTGCGCGCTTTTCTATATTCACGGAACGTATACCTCGCGAATAAAGAGCTTTTACTGTATCAAAGAATAGATAGGGAGGTAAAGAAACTAAAATTACAATCATCAGGTCGTGGGTAGCGTGGCCGAGCGGTCTAAGGCGCTGGTTTAAGGCACCAGTCTCTTCGGAGGCGTGGGTTCGAATCCCACCGCTGCCAAATACTTTTTTTTATATTTTCGACTTATCTAATCACTTAAAATCCCGTAAGCTACCGAATAATCCTAAAATATGTTTTTTTGTGGTCAACCAAGTTCAGGTATCATAGATTTTATTGACTAAAAACTATTTTACGCATTGATCCAGTAACAAATTCAAATACACAGGTTGCCGCTGCTTATGTTACAATTACGTTTTCAAAATTATCTTACAATAAAATAATAATTAAATCATTTATTGCCTATCACACAGATCCAGATTAATACATTTAGATAAATAAAAGAAAAGAAAAATAAAATGGCAAAAGGAGGCGGCTAAGCTAATGTTGATGAAAGTAGATGTTATCTACTCACAGTATAGCCGGTCTCAATAGGTATAGTTTTTTTTTTTTTTTGACAACAATCAGTGAACAAATGGGCCATTTGCTATTTTATATATTTGACATAAACATATTAGAATTTTTTTTAGACGTATTATTGTTTTATTATTCGAGTGCATGCTTCGATTGAGCATAGTATGACGGTGATTATTTGTCACGTTGTTGAAAGCTAGTAGTACAAAAGCGATACCAACATTTATACAGACTTTTCGGAGGGAACGCGACGAGTGAAGTTGTGTGATTTGTTTTATTTTGTCTATTTAGTGTTTCTTCAGGTTTAAATGTGTAATAACGAAGGTTTATTAAATGTTTAATATCTGTGAAAGTGCACAAATATGGAAAAATTAAACAAAGCCGTTGGACGTAACTTCTCGGGATCCTCCAAAAAGTCCACTGAAAATATCTCAGTAAATGACCACCATTTTACTGAGATTATATTTCATCCCATATCATCTCATTTCATTTAATTTCATCCCAGTTGATTAATGTCTCAAATTAATCATCTTCATTTCATTTCATATTATCATTTTTCATAAAAATAAGAATACAAATTAAATTAAGACATGACTATGCCTAAAGGTCTTAGTTACCAGGTCATAAAATCCCTTAAAAAAAACATTTATACCGACAACATTTATAGAGACGTCAATATCTCAAGCTAAGTTATGGCACTCATAATGTGATCTCTTTGGGTCCCGCTAACCCCTTAGCACCAGATGAGCAGTACACCCAAATACATATATTACAAAAGAAGAAAAAAATATTACTATCACTTTACTGGAGGAGGAACATTTATTTACTGTTCGTAGGACGTTTTTTAAGTCTGCACGGGTCGGTATCCACCACTCTGCTTGTTTCTGCCGTGAAACAGTAACGCGTTTTGATTTGAAGGGTGGGGCAGCCGTTGTACTGTTAAATTTAAGATCTAAGAACTCTCATGTCTAAAGGTGAGTGACGGCATTTCTGTTGTAGATGTCTATTGGCTTCCATTCCACCCATCTAAGCAATAAAAAAAAAATAAAAAAATCGTAACCACATTAACACCTGCAGTTAGGCCGTGAGCTCGTCCCCTCATCTAAGCAATAATAAAAACTTTATTTTAGAAAGGTCGTTTATGTATGCCTGTGTGCTTAGCGCGAGTTTTTTAACGTTCTCGATAGCGTAAAAGTTAGCTCACCTTTGTATGGAATGGGATCGTTTGCACACGTTTGCCGCTAGGGGCGCTGTTCCAACTGCAGACAAAACTGGGCTAACTCGTACGCTTTTGAGAACGTTAAAAAATTCGCACTAAGCATACTGATATAGACAAAACCACAATTCCCATACTTGTATACAGTTTGAATTCATAATACATCGTGTGATTACATATTCGAAATTCAAATAATCAATGTTAATCAAAATGTTAATTCTGAAATATAATCTAGCATTCATTACAATAAAATTGACTTCGTAATTACATACTACCTAATACTAATACTGTGTAACTGTACACAGAGTAACTGCAGTTTGTTCTAAACTAATCACAGATTAGTTTTTGTATATCGCTACTTTAGAATTGAAGTGGATTATCTAAAAAATTTAAGGAAATGAGTTTTACGGTAGGCAGCGGCTTGGCTCTGCTCCTCGCATTGCTGAAGTCCATGGGCGACGGTAACCACTCAACATCAGGTGGGCCGTATGCTCGTCTGCCTACAATGGGCAATAAAAAAAAATCTACTTCGAACAACATATAAACATGTATTCAATCAGTTTATAAAATTAAACAGTTTTAATCCTTTTTCGGAGACTAAATCTGTTCTGTATCTTTCAAATTAAAGTATTAAAATCGAAAAAACTGCAACTCTTCAATTACATTTTTTACGTTTACGAAAAACAAGATTTTTGGATTAGGCCACTTCAATTCTAAAGGTGCGATATAAATATATATAAGACGAACTTTTCAAGTGTGGCTGGACAAATACCGAACCAGTTGGTCTAGAAAAATACACATTAGCTTTGGATGGCTTCGCTTTGGATGGCTCGGGCCTCAAACCGGGAGTGTTGTTAACAATGACCTTAGCAAGAGCAGTGATTCGCAGAATCTACCACCGGATCGGAAACGCGACCCACTGAGAAGATCCGGCGAGAAACTCAGTGGATTGTGTTTTCTTTTATATATTTTTATTGCTTAGATGGTTGGACGAGCTCACAGCCCACCTGATGTTAAGTGGTTACTGGAGCCCATAGACATCTACAACGTAAATGCCCACCCACCTCGAGATATAAAGCTCTAAGGTCTGAGTATAGTTACAACGGCTACCCCACCCTTCGAACCGAAATGCATTACTGCTTCACGGCGGAAAATAGGCGGGGTGGTGGTACCTACTCGTGCGGACTCCCAAGAGGTCCTACCACCAGTTATTACGCAAAGTATAATTTTGCGGGTTTGATTTTTATTACACGACGTTATTCCTTCACCGTGGAAGTCAATCGTGAACATTTGTTGAGTACGTATTTCATTAGAAAAATTGGTACCCGCCCGCGGGATTCGAACACCGGTGCATCGCTACATACGAATGCACCGGACGTCTTATCCTTTAGGCCATGACGACTTCAAAGACTAGACAGTCTGTGGGCCTTCCACAAAGCATTCGCGAAACAGCTGCCCTTGAGTTGTTAGGTCTCCTTTGGAGGCGCTCGGACAGTTGTTAGCAAATCACACCCCTCCTGGCTGAGTCTTTGCTTGCTTGCTTTTCTCACCTGTCCCGGTGATCCTGTAAAGGCTTTCGGGCCACCAGTGACCCTTCCTTCATAAAGAAGCCTTCCACAAAGGTATTTCAGAAATTTTACAATCAAATCACCAAATTAATTAATTTGAATTGATAATTTTGCCTCTTTCTGACACGGTGTCGCCATGACACCTAGTTTGAAAGAATACAGCAGCTCCTACATAAGATTCAGATTTCGACCTCAAGCCTCAAGAAGGGTGATAACATTCACGATGGTTAGCGGATTTGTCTGTCCGTTTACTGCAATAAAAATACTAAAATACAAGAACCAACATTAAGTGGCGGCTTGATTCCTGGCATTGCTGATATCCCTGAGCGCGGTAACCATTCACCATCAGTGGACCACATAACCCCGCCTACGTACTAAAAAAAAGTCATATTACTAAATTTAGTGGTGGTAGGACCTCTTGAGAGTCCGCGCGGGTAGGTACCACCACCTTGCTTATTTCTGCCGTGAAGCAGTAATGCGTTTCGGTTTGAAAGGTGGGGCAGCCGCTGTAACTATACTTGAGACCTTAGAACTTATGTCTCAAAGTGGGTGGCGCATTTACGTTGTAGATGTCTATGGGCTCCAGTAACCACTTAACACCAGGCGAACTGTGAGCTCATCCACCCACATAAGCAATAAGATAAAATAAAAATTACACACATTTTGTATGAAGCCATCCATTAATATCATTGTTTTTATGGAAGGTTAAATTCCATTTTCAATTACAGAATACGGAATGTATTTCGTCAGACAATAATAGGCCTCAGTTATTATAGCCTTATGAATTTTTGATATTCTATTAACATATTTTCCTTTTTAGATGCAATTAAGATATGAATAATGTGTGTGAAAATAATGATAAAAATATGTGATATGTATTTATATGTACAAGTGGTCCACCGGTAGTCGAAT